AGTTACAAAAGTGTATATAATTTTATAATTATATGGTTATGTTTTGTATCTCTAATACAGTATAAGGAACAAAAGAAATATGTTTTTTGTTAAAAGTATTTATTAGTATATCTACTTATTTGGTCATTTTGAGCAATCAATTTTTATACAGTTTATGTATATATAAAAACAGTCTGTATAACCTGTATCCTTATTCTTTTTTCTTTGTTAGTAATATGACTAATATGGCTGAAGGATATGTAGCATGGGATTTAATGGTGTTAGAAGAAAGAGTGAGACAAGTAGAACGAAGAATTGAGAGAAGAGTGCTCCGCGACGCTCAAAATCCATTTGAACTGCCTTATATCGAATTTCTCTCATACTATAGAGTTAACAAAGAATTAATTATGGATATTGTCAACGTGCTAAGACCATATTTACAACCACAACGCATTAATGGATTATCTCCAGAAATACAAGTTTTAACAACAATTGGATTTTTTGCTCATGGTAGTTACCAAAGGCCAAGTGGAAATCAGTGTGAATTGGTTATAAGCCAACCGTCTGCAAGCCGTTGCATAATGTGACAAAATTGATGAATGCGCATTTATTACGTCAGTGGATACGATTTCCAATGACACCATTAGACAGAGCTGCAACACGGAACAAATTTGCACGAACGTTTCCGGGTGCTATTGGTGCTATAGATTGCACGTACATAAATATTATTACACCACGTATACACGAGGAGGCATACGTAAATCATCACGGCAATCACTCATTAAATGTACAAGCTGTAAGTACAATTATAATAAATTATATTTTATTTATTTATTTTGTAAATTAAAAAATTTAATGACAGTTTACATATATACATATGAATTCCCCCTTATATTAACATTATTAGTAATAATAACTATAATGTAATACATCTGGGCGGCGGTGTGGTCTAGTGGTAGAGCGCCAGACTCGTAATCTGATGAACCAGGTTCGAGTCCACTAGAGCCATAAATCATGGAAAAGTTTTTTCCGAAAAAACCGCGCCCTTCCGTGCAGATGCGGAGAAAACTGGGCTCCGTCTTTCGGAAGAGACGTTAAACCGTTGGTCCAAAGTAGGAAAGTAGGAAACAGTAAGGTAGTAGGATGAATTGAAGGTTAGGGTTGGGTACGTCCCTTCAAAACGCCCTTTAAGGCCCCCTTGGGGTATATAAAGTAAAATTCTTTATCCTTTAACTATAATGTAATACTGCATATAAAAGAGTGTGTATATGAGTGGAAGAAAAAAGAGAGACTTGTGATATATTTGTGAACATTTTTACAGATAGTCGATCCAGACTTGAAAATATTAAATATCAACGCACGATATCCAGGAGCGAGGAATGATGCTTTTATATGGAATTCTTCTCCAATTAAACATGTAATGGAACACTTCTATAATCATGGTGAAAGAAGAACGTATTTGATTGGTATGAATAAACTTAAAATGTTCAATTTGTATTATTGTGTTTTTATTTAATATTTATTTATTAAGTCGTTGTAATGTGTGTGTGTGTGTGTGTGTAGGAGATGCAGGATATCCCTTGGAACCTTGGCTCATGACACCGTTACCTTACTATCCACAGAGGAGTCGGCAGTACCATTATAATGAAAAATTATGTAAAGCACGATGTATTGTAGAAAGATTTTTCGGAGTCCTTAAGGGAACTTGGCGATGTTTATCATACCAACGCGTATTAATGTACGCTCCAGATATTGCTGGCCAAATAGTAAATGCATGTGCAATATTGCACAATATGCGTCTGTATTATCGGTTACCCTTGGACATGGAAGAAAATGTGTTCCTCGATAACGCACCTGCAGATCACATCCATGTAGAAGAAGAAGAAGAAGTAGAAATTCGCAGAGGGCCTAGAGCTGTAGCACAGCGGATACAAAAACAACTTATGCAAGAGTGGTTTCCCAATTATGTATGTGCATGGGATAATGAATAGGAATTTAGTAAAATTTCTTAAGGATGTATTGTAAAGAAAACTTTATAATTATGGAATAAGGACAAATCGTCAATTACATTATACACTAAGAATGGTCATAAATAAGGAATTTAAGTGAAAGAATAAAACGTATAACAGTAATTTTGAATCATGAGCATTAAAATTTATTTATTATTTAACAATGTATCAATAACATATATTAAATGTTAGGTAAACATTACTATCAAAAACATATATTAAAAGTTAGGCAACCCTTTTAACAAGATTTTTTAAAATTGTTATTTGCCGTCTTTCGTTTTCGGCGAGTTTTTGCATGTTATTGCTCAATTGCAATGTAGCTTCCGCTTGGAGTTTCATAGACTCTGCTAACATCTGTAAAAATATAATATTAAAAAAGAAAACAGAGATGTCTTGCATGTACTAATAAAACTACTTACTTTCATTGCTTCAGCATGTCTTTCGGCAATTGCAGCAAATGACTCTCGGGCTTCGTTTAAATTGTCCGACAAACGTGCCTTTCCTGTAAATATTAGTGAAATAATAATATTGTAGTTAGAATAAAAAGTTAAATTTATATACAGAATATAATTAATATTCTAATACTTTTACTTACGTCTTTTAGAGGGATTAGATGCACCTGACCTTTGTATTCCATGTGTTGGTTGTGTTGGTATGTTGGTAGTGTTGGTTACATTTAATGTATCAATGTTTTCGATATTTTCCATATTTTCCATATTTTCCATATTTGCTGTATCTTCTATATTTTCTAAAAACATAATTTTATATGTGATGTGTATATGTAAATAATTATATACAAACATTTTACACACACACACAACTATGTTGTATACAATATTAATTAATACTAACGCAGTACGTCCTGTGATGTTGATTGTATTGAATAAGGATCGTCTAATAATATTGCACCATCATTTGTACCTGCAAAAAGAAATAAGTCAAATTTTCTTCTCTATTATTTGAAAAATATGTGAATAACTTATTCTTTTATGTATGTATTAATATATATATATATATATATATATATATATATATATATAAAGAAGGGAAAGAGATTATATTATTATGTAACGTTCGCGTTTTCTCGCTCGGAATTCGCTCGCCAGGCCAGG